ATAAATATATTGCACATGATTAAATCTGATTGTGAGTTACTGTTTATAAATATAAAATGAATTGTGGGATAAATTATCGCACGTGATTATAACTGAATGTGGGTCACTGTTTATATGTTATAAAGAATTGTTGAATAAATAAGTAGATTAATCGTTTATTATATAGCGGCATGTGTTATTATACAATACAATCATATTAGAAACATATAATACAAATATTCAAACACCTATATATAACTTTTTTTTTAAAAATAAAGGAAATATGTATATAAATATATACCGCTGCACAATTATATTACGCATAGCGGTTTTCTGTACAAAAAAGCATGCAATATTAATATAGATATTTTGAGGGATTAAGAGGAAAATAAAAGTATTTAGATCCGACATAAAAAAAAAGTTCCGCCGAATTGTGGCTGAAATATTGCCGCCTCGGCGTTAGACAATATCAATAAATCAACCAATCATAAAAAGATGGGCTGCCATAATTGTTAGTAAATAAATTAATGTGATCCATATTTCGAGTATTTTGTATAATTTAATGAAAAGTAGCACTCGTTCGCTACATTATCTTTTAGAAAAAAATACATAAATATGTCACTGATTGTTGGTCACTGTATATATGTATGTATACGAAGAATGGGGTGGAGGTGTTAATGTAGAGATTATACCAGTTTTGAGGTCACTGTATGTATGTATTGAACGGTTTGTGCAATAAACACATTACACTTGATTAAAACTTACTGTGGGTCACTGTATATACATTGTATGTTAATTATGAATTGTTGGATTAATATATTGGAGGTGGTTTTAGCTGTGGGTCACTGTATATATGTACATAATGAATTGTGGGATAGATATACCGCACGTGATTATATATGATTGTGGGACACTCTATGTATAATGGATGTAGTGATCATCGCTGTTTGTGGGTCACTATATATATATCATCGTGGGACAGTTGATTGTATATATTATATTGCCAAAGAGGATATCCCTAGAATATCTTGTTAAGATTCTTTTAAAAAAGGTATCGCAGTGAATCATTATTTAATATGATACGAAAGTATTGGAAAGTAATATTGAAAATTCAGCGAAACTGTTCTTAATGGTTTATTTTACATTGTATATAAGTAAATATAAATACATGAATATATTTATAAATATTTTTTCAAACATTAATGCTAATATCTTTTCATTGTGAATTACATCAAATAATATAATTATATAGCATAAGATAATGTTGCGGGTCACAAAATTCATATATGAAGAGCATTGTGCGATGTATATAGTTTATCCCACAATGTTCTATATATATAAATGTTTTGACCCACAATTATTTACAATATTTTTAATATTAACTCAAAAAAATATTATATATTATATAAGGACCATATATAATGCCTAAATAATGAATATGGCATAGCTATGCAATTTAGAAATGCGAGATCCCACAAACCAGCTTAGAAGCTCGGTGCCCACAAACAACCTCATATACCTATATATATATATATATATATATATATATATATATATATATATATATATATATATATATATATATATATATATATATATATTATTTTTTTTTTTTTTTTTTTCACAAGAATTAAATTTCTCCTAATTTTTAATGATGTAAAAACAAGAATTTGTTTATATATTTATTTTCTTATTGACTGCATAGCGCTGTGATTAAATTGTTTGCTCTTGAGTAGCAGAAATTATCGTAAAAACGCGATTTTGTGATTCTGCTGTGGGACATGGAGACTACTTTTTTGGATGAGACCGTATTAACTGAGTCGCAGTAGATGATAGCACGAAAAGATGCAATACAATCAATGATCTTGAGTGTCGTATAACGGTCTAAATTTGCAGTCCACCACCATGAATTGTTGGCATCCCAATACGAGTGAAAATATCGGACGAGACATGAAACAAATACAAGCAACGTTCTCATTGATAAGAATTGTCTCCGATAATATTTTATTTAAAAAAACAGTTTATAACCTCAATAATGAATAATTTGACTTAATGATCAATTGTATTTGCTGCCAAGCTCTCTGCATCGAGTATAGAACTTATGACATGTTGACTTTAAACGAGACTGCTGATATTCTTGTTTCATCAACATTTTTGTCAATGATTTACCTCGTTTTAGAAATTGTTCATACGAAGAGCATGCTCTTGCATATCGAATCAACTATATATAAACTCCGTACGCAGGTGATGAAGGAATATTGCTGCATAAATAATGGACGTTTATAATTGAAAATTTAAAGTCATATAGTTAAATTGTCAGAAAGCTTTGCTGTTAGAATACCACTAACGTCCTTTTCAAGTAAAATATTTAAATACGAGTGATTTGGGAATGCCTACTCTTCAATGGCACTTGATCCCACTTCTGATGTTTTTGAGTACGTGTTTGCTCTGCTCCTGATTTGTCTTTTGGGCTTGAATATTGTTTGTTTTATTTCAAGCTGGCAACGTCATTGCATATACCAAAGAAGTTGCGAAATGATAACCTAAACGAGACTGTAGATGCTTGCTTCATTAGCTTATTTCATAATATAATACAAATTGTTCATGATCTTGTGTATCTATTCAACTTGGTGGCATAAACCTCATATGTTGAAGGTAAGGAATAAAAGCATTATGCTACATAGGTAAAGGAAGTTGAAAATAGAAAAACTGAAGTCATCACGTTTACACATGTATCATCGGGATGTCAAATTACCAATAATTTAAGAAAAATTGAAATATGGAACACATATGTCACATTCTGTTGTTTCTAAATTTCCAATTTATTGAGATTTCTTGGGTCGATATGTGAATAGAAATAAGTATTTTTGATGTCCAATTGAGCAAATTAAACAAACAACTAAAACAACAGAAAAAGCCGTCGTCTATCCAGAGTGTAAATAATGGTCCAACAATAAGTGCCAAAATTGTTCATCAGCATTTGACTTAATGATAGACTGTATTTGCTGACAAGGTAATTTTATCGATCGACCACTGAACGTGTTATATGATAATTTTGAACAAGACTTGATATTTTTGTTTCATCAACAACTGACTTTGTTTGAGAGAAAAATTAAATACACAGAGCATGCTGTTGCGTCAACGCAACATAACGATACCAAAGCAAAGGGTATATCAGCAGCTAATTCATTGATAAAAAAAAAGTGGGTTATATTGTATAAAATGCATGGCATATACAAGATCCAACTTCTGATGGTTTATGAGATTTTTTGATTGCTCTCCTCCAAATTTTTATTGTTTCAATCGATTCTTGAACTTGATTCTACATTGTTATCGTCATAATGTTTTCATTTATATAAAACTGTTATATGACATTAAAAATGATCGTCATTTTATTTTTGTCCTTTATTAGGAAAAAATATTTTTAAAAAGAGGATTTTGTAATCACCAGATTTAAATATCTCGATACCATCTCTTCCTCGATTTTATATCTGCAGTGATCTAAGCAGGCTCGAATTAGATCAATGACATTTTCACATTTTTTTTTTCAGGATGAAACAAAACCTGTTCTGGAAATGTTTCATTGCATTACTATTAGCTCAATATAATATCTCTATTTGCAATACTAGTATCATCTCACATGCAAGCTAGATTTAACTAGGGAACAAATTTGTGAAAGTTCATAAACTGCTGGAAGACTTTGAAGCGATATGGCATTTATTTAACTGTAGTATTACATTAATATTATAATATTAGCTGAAGCTGTACATTTTCTTTGTCCCATCATCATTAAAAAAGAGAATTTGACTCATAGTCCAGAGTCACTAAAAACAGTTGAACATCAAGTAATAAAAAAAGATAAACAGTATTTGGGGTTAATATTGGGAATGCAGTTCTTTGAATAGGGCTTTAAAACGCAGCCTTGAAATTCCAGAGATGGGATCAGGTTCCTGGGAGGAGTAAGTATCCCCTGTTGAGAGAACGCATCCACCGTGAGGTATATATATTGATCAAGGATACATTGCGTTCAAATCTTAAACCATGGCCTAGAATCATCCAAGATAGCTTCATATCAAGAAACTATCCCCGCTTGGGTTCAGTACAGTGGCCTCATAGATATTTTATTTACAAGGCGGCGAAACAGTGATACATACACATGTACTAATATTATCTTTTGTTGCTTGATATATCTTTATGTTAACAATGTACATGATGTATCGCAAAAAAAATTCTAGTCAAATGGAATAAAACATTAATTATTATTATGGATGTCTTTGAAATGATATATTTTAAACAACATCTGTATTTCAAGACAACACCTGCTCTTCCCTAGTCCGGGCAATGTTATAACAGTACATTAGCAAGGTTAAAAGGGCATAGAAGAAAGAGAACACTAGGCATTATTCAGAAAAAAAGTCAAGAAAAAAACTAATCAAAAGGGATGAAAAATGAAAAAGGACAGATATCAAAACTTTTTTTCCCCCTAAAGGCAACGCTGCAATCGATAGTGTCAAGGAAAGAATAATCAAATAAATGAATTTTTATTAATATTATGTCCGAAAGTAAAGTATCGTAATCAACAGCAAAACGTACCTGTAAAATATGCATGGGCTTTTATCATTCTAATAATAGGTGTTCAACCTAAGAGTGATTAACTCCAGATGTAATGGTTTGGAACTCTTTACCTTTTTTGTTCTTTTGTCCTTCTGTCTAAATAATAATAATAAAAACAATCTTTACTCTTTATGTTTAATTTTTCTTAACGAGTGATACTAATAGAAAATTGGCCTGTTACTATTAAGCTTGCACATCATTAAAAAATTATTTTTAGAATTAAATTCAGAAGACCCCAAGTTTAAGTTGATGTTATTTTGAACAAAGGACTGCTTGATGCGACTTTCCTCTTTTATGGAATATGATCAAGATTTCTTTGAAATTTTAAAATTATCTTGAAATTGAATGTTACTGAGGTTCAGTAAAAACGTTTATAATAAAGAATGTGTTCAGAAATAACAAGAGAATATGGTTTTATAACAAAAATAAATATTTTTATTATGTACAATATGTACAACGTCAACAATGTTAGTAAATTCGCCTGAGAAACACTGCGTCACCGTCACTGTATCGATTACACGTGTTCCTAATGGTGGGGGACCTGTATGGACTCTTTGTGGGCTCAAAAAATTTCCAGTGATTTATCATTGTAGCTGGAAAGAAAACAGTACACATCAGTAATTGATAAATAGTACCAAAAAAATTAAATATAGACCATCTGTTTTCATACTGTAAACTGTAGAAATAAAAATAAAACCAATGCTGACTAAGAAGACAAAAAAAAAAAGGAAAATCAAAAGAACTATGGTAATCCATAGATATTTAGAGATGTAATTTTCATAAAACTGGAAATTGATGTTCAAAAGAAATAACACACTCAGAAAATTGTGTGTCAATAACATTGTAGAAGTTTTCCTTCAATAGATCTAGAGTATAAAACCTTTAATGGCTTTTCTTTAGTAGGGCATTTAAGTTTAAAATGGCAAAAAACTTTCAAAACTCTCTAACAATATGCAAAAATTGGCATCACTTATCAAATTACTCATTTTTGAATAATCTAATTTAATATCAGTAAAGGAAATCTCGCTTTCATTCTTATCCAATAATGTTCTTCAATCCATTTGGATAAAATATTGCTGACGAAGCACTTTTTATTTCATGGCAACTTTTTCTTAACTTTCATATATGTATCTCTTAGATAAACGACACAGAGAGGAAAATAATTGAATTATTATTGAATTGTATCCATCGGGAACACCTTGTCCATCTGAAATGATTTACTTAAAATGAACGATGTCTAGTAAAAATACGACCGCAATAAACACATTCCAGAAAACGAGATACCGTATTGATATTCCAAGGGTTTAAGAAATAATGACTTGCAATACAAGTTTTATTGAAAAATAAACGAATAATATCATGATTTTTTCATCATATATATCAGATTACCTATATGATCTTCTTGTCAAGGATAATGTTATATACGAGTAATTTGTTCATCTACATGTGGATAACCACAAATAAAATACAACGAAATGTTTTTCAACCTATAAGAAGTCTAGTTACGTTGTTATTACTGGTCAATGGCACTAAAACCTGATAGATACTAAATAATAACGACTTTATCTTTTTTCCAAAATCTGACAGAAACAAAATACTTACGACTTAATCGTACCACCAACATGGGGTTCTCATCAACAAAGGGAAACTGTAGACACAACATTTCATTCCTGTCGGGTGTTCTATAATGATATGGAACAGAACGGTCAACACCCGTACAAACATAACATTATCATAGTTATTTATCTTAAATACAGGAATAACAAACTTTATTTTAGAAGATAATGATAAAATTTTTCTTAAGTTTTTATCATTCAATATTGAGGAAGATGATCATATGTTTTAAAGTGAAGACTTAATAATTCTTTTCTCAAGAAATGCTCTTCAAGAAAGAGAATCGTTATTATCGGCCATATTAATTTAAGAAAAAAAACTTTTTTATTAATTTAAATGTTTGGGGATTTTTTTTGCCATTGGTAACTAATTATAATTCGGCTCGGAATTTTTATAAAAGATACATATACTTTATTAAGTATAAAAGATACTTAGTAGGTAAATTATCAATAACCTTTTTATTCGGTCAGATAAAATTTATCTGAATCTGCATTTGTTTAAATGATTTTTCAGGATGAATATAATTATCAAGAATTTCCTGAAATGAAAATTTATCCTTTGTGTCGTATCAAATGCTGGGAAAATTGTATTGTAATAAATGATTTCAAGTTTTGAATAGAGGTTACCTCCCTTGGTTATTTTATTTTGAATTTGTGACTAACTTTATCACTACAGTCTTGTGAAAGGTAATTATCCTGTAATATTTATATATTGCATTAGTGACTTACATAAGCAGTACAGTTTCGTAATAATCCATTTCCTTACAGAAGTAATATCTCTCTGATTCGGGAGTTTGCACTAACACATAATAATAATTAATTGTAATGAGTGTGTTCATGTCATTATCATAGGCATCAGACACCGCCCACTTTCCAAACACTGAGGGTGAAAACGGACATCGTCCTGAAAAAGAAGAACAAGGTAAATATCACATCAAATACCAAATATTTATTAAGCCAAATCTTTTTTTCTTAATTTACCGTATTCGTTTTTAGCAACTTTTAATAGCTTTAGATTGGCGGAACTTTATTTCAAGTCTTATAAAATAAAATACAAACAAGAAATACAATTTCTCTTCTGAGCCACTTGTAATAAACTACATGTATCCTTTTTATTGATTTAAAAAATAATGAACGAGACCATTAGCTAATTTTTGATTTTGTGTCTATTGCAGAAACTAATATAAATAAAAGTGTAGTCATTATTGACTCTTTCGTACATTTACAATAAGTAATTGACTTGTCTGAATATACACATGCTTTTAAATATAAGTATTGTCTTTTAAACATTCTATTATCTAGGGGCAATTTAATCAGATTCAAAGATTTTTATGAATACTTGAGATTACTTCAACGTTTTATTGTCACCTTTCCTTTTCTCATTTTTATACACCATTATTACTTGTACAAGGAAAATAAGACTCATATTTTATAAAAACACTAGAGGTCAACAAGAGGTTGCTTAATATTATGTCTGAACAAATCCTGAAACACAGCAAGCTATTGACAAA